TCACTCTGTATAATAAAAATATTATATCAATTGACACCTATATGAGGCATGGTTAAAAGACAAAACGGTTCGTTTTTATATTATTTACACTGTTAAATAATGTCAATGTACATTGTTTTTTTCATTATTTTTTCAATGTCTGTACTAACGATGATACACTGCCAATATTTGCATTAATCAAATTAATTTTGAGATCTGTTTTCTACCTTAGATTCAATAAAACATTAATCCCCTTCAATCATTTTTATATTCTATTTTAGGTACTTTTTATATATTTATTTACGATGTAATAAACTGGCATTTTATCAATCCATATAGGTACGTAACAGAATTTATATCTGGAAATTAAAACTATTGAAATTAGTGCCTTTATATTTTCCAAACGGGCTATGACATTTTCAAGTAAAATGTAGTCATTCTGGTTCCATCCGTAATTTGTTAATTCCAGGGTCATTTTTTAAATGATTGTTTTAACACAAAAACGGCAGTTTTCGTGATAGATTTTTGAGAATATTTCTTTAATTTAAAGCCGTTATAAAGCCGAAGAGTAATAGTGGGACAATGGTTACCCTGCTAAATTTGGTGCACTTCTCTGCTCATTTAAACTTAAAATACTTATAACTAATAACTATTTACTTGTTCGAAGAATCGTTTTTATATTAAAATAAGATAGACATTCTACTTAAAATATTAAAAAATAAAAAATGAAAAATCTTGAAAGTATTATAACGATAAAAAAATTTTGATAAACATGTTTTCAGAAACTGTGTGTATATTATAATTGCAATGACTTCAAATGATACAAAAATATATTATGCTGTTGAATGATAAAATAATCACCTCGTAAATAATAATATTCGTACGATTAACGATTTAAAAACCTATAGATAATGGACGATTGTATGAACATAATGCCCATATGCATACCTAGTTTATATAATATGTGTCACGTAAGCCATGTTGAACTATATCTTATAATATGTATAATATAGGTATAAATAACATATATATATATGGATTACCTACACAGGTATACCTGATAACTATAGCTATAATATTATGTTCGATTTGTTTTTATTATTTGTTTGTCTTTGAACAACGTTTTACCGACACAATGAATTAGTTATATTCGTCTCCGGCGGCGACGACGAATCGCTCTACCGATGCACAGAAACTTTAGCTTCGTCAGCTATTTTTGAATGTTTGATATATTTAAACATAAGCACATATTATTGGGCTAGGGCAGCGAAGTTATTTTTTTTTTATATATAGATATTTATATTCGTTGCTTAGTGAGCATAAAATGTGTTTCGTCTTTTGTCGGACTTAAACACATTTTTTACTATCGAAATATAATGTGATTTTGAATTTGGTGCAAAATTGAACTGGTTCTCATAATTTTCGCAAGGTTTCATGAATATTTTACTCGATATAATATAAAATATAAATTAATATTATATATAGTATTTAAATTTTTTCAATGCAATTTTCAAAATTATAAGTAAAATTGTTTATATTATACTCGCAGTGCATTGAGTGAGTTTTATTTAATACAATTACAATTATTGGCCTAAATGCATTACTTACTATTATACTATGACTATTAATATAATATGACACCATCACATGCACCGAAACTGAATTTCTTTTGTGGGGAAAAAATTTACAATTTTCGACTTCTACAACTAGAGTTGGGGTAAAATATTATGATTATTATTACCCTACGTTTTGTCCGATGACAACAATAGACCATAATAATATATTACATAGACCCACGATATTGCAGAACACTGTCGTACCTATATCTAATATTATATAGGAGATATTTTTTCCGCGTCCACAACACTGCACCACTATATTATTTTGTCAAGTTCAAATATATTGTAGTGTACAAGGTGTGTTTTTATAACGATAAACCCTAAATATTAAAATGTATTAAAAAATTATAAGTTTTTGACATTTCTTTTTGGTTTAAAATAATATATCAAGAAACGATCAATTCTATCATTTCACATTACACTTTAAATTATTCTTTTTAAATTGATTGTTTGTACCGATTTTAAATACGGTGACAATAATAAAAAAATTAAATTTAAATTTAAATAACAAAGATGTACTATTCTAGTTAATTAACTGACGTTTTTAACCAAAAAAATAAATACAAATTAACCAGTCAAATGGTGAAAATATTTATTAGGCTAATATTAACAACAAAATCATTGAAATGGTTGATGAGAATATTTTCGAGTTTTAACTAAAGGCAAAATAAAATTAATCTAAATACGTAATACATAATATGTAAAAAATATTTTGATTTTCTGATTTTTATACATTATACACATTATTATCAATAGGTTAAATCAATATCAATTAACTTTATCACCTTCTAACTGATTGATTTTTATTTTTTTTTATTATAACTTATGATATCAAGAATGAAGTTTTAAACCGCCATAAAAAGTTAAAAATATTCTAAAATTATAGTTGACTTAGTTGTTTAAGTTTTTTAAATGTATATATTATATATCATGGTTTCGCGAACTATAGTATGTCCCTACGTCCTTACTTTAAAAATGTATAATCATAACATAAAAGTATAAAACCATATCAAAATAAACAATATCCTATAGTGATACGCATATTTTATGAAAGAGTGGAGGGAGGTAGAGTATAGGTGTTCATGATGGTTATACAGCTACGAATCAATTATATTAAAATGTTTTAAATTGTGGTAAATAAATGAAAATAAAGGTAAATTACTGGTAAAAATTATTTATCATCTCTAAAATGTTAGTCTTATAATTTTAATCAAAATAAATTTTTATAAAATATCTTAAAACATAAAATTTAAAATTTAACAAAAATCTAGTTTTTTAGGATACCTGGATATGTTTAAAACTTTGACCTATAAATTGAAATTCTTTTTGTGTGTATTAATACACTTGAGTGGTGTGAATTTATTTACTCTAATTGGCGCCTCGCAAGTAATTGGTGGCCACCATTGTTGTAATAATTACTCGTCTCTACCTATATGCATTATAATATATATGCTATATGCAAGGCTGGGCAAGTTAACTATTTTTTTTAACTCGTTAAGTTAAGTTAATATAGAAAAATGTAAGTTAAGTTAAAAGTTAAAAGTTAACTTCATTTTTTTTTTAACTTGTAAAAGTTACAAGTTAATTAGAAAATAAAAGTAACTTAACTTAGTTAAAAATAAGTTACTTTTTTTTTTAAAATAAAATTAACAATTATACCTACCTACCTTTTTTAAAGCTAACAAATAACATAATAATTCAATAAATCAAAAAATGTCTTACAATATTTTGAATAAATGTTTGTAATAAAATTAGTTACTGTAGGTACTTATATTAATTTTGTGTATTATACTTTAATTAGGTAAATAGTAAATACCACGCTACTACGGGTATTATTTACATCGACGGGCCAAGTTATCACCGTAATTCTATGAATGAATAAAAATATAATAATAAGTAATGATATTAATAATGATTAGGTATAGGTTAGGTGATATGTCGTGTATGGGATAGGTACTGAGTAAATTGTTATATTTTTCTTTGACGCGGTTACCCCTATGATATTTCCCTCTATAATATAGTTATAAAATATTTTCTGTGAATATGCAATATAAAAACTTACTATGATTATAAATTATTATTTAATAAAATATATTTAATATTTCGGGTTTTTTTTTAATGTAATTAATTTTACAAAATTGAATTAATTTTAAATAAAATGTGGTTTGGGAAAAAATTAACTTAACGTGCTAATACAATTAATTAACTCGTTAAGTTACTGAATAACATGGGGAAAAATGTAAATCGTTAAGTTAGAAGTTACTTCTAAAAAAAAAAATAACTCGTTAATTAACTTAGTTAAAAGTAACTTAACTTTTTAACTTAACTTTAACTTATTAACTCGTTAATGCCCAGCCTTGGCTATATGCATAAATCGAATTGCACAATTGTGAAATAAAAATGGTCTTTATTATAAAAATATAAAAAAAAAGTAAAGTCATAAAATCTTGCACGTATTATATTCTATTTCGATACTGGATGTTTACCGTCCTAAGGGTAGGAAATGACACAGATTGAATTAAACATCGTGTCTTAAAGGTACCTATTTAGTATTTAATAAAGTCTTTTTAAATATTTGGTATCCTGTACTTAGAATACTTAAATGCTTTTTTTTATTCTATTTATTTTGTATTTTTTAATAACAGTTACTAAGAAAATAGTGTAGAACGTTATTTAGTGGGTTACTTATGATAATGATAAATTTGAATTCAATGAAGATCATTGCATACAAAAAATGACGCTGAAAGGAGAAGATGTTTTCTATTTCTAATAATATTTTTAAATGTATAGGTATTTCATATTTTTGAATTTTTTTTAAGCCTGGTCAGCTGAAAGCTTGAACATTTAATAAAAGATTTTACATAAGTTTTTCTTATAACGATTCAAAAAAATTAAAAATAAATGATCATGATTTATTTATTTTTTTATAAGTGTTAGAATATAATTCTAACTTTGACAAAAATTGCAATTTATTTCATTCCTAGTTAAAAACTGTAATAATGTTTAATTTTTATAGGACAAAAAGATCCGAAATAATTTTAAAATTATATCATAATATAGGTTTAAGGAACCTATAAAATGCTAAAATAACAATTTCAAGCACCTACCTAAGGATATTCATTTTTGAATCTCAACAAAATAACTAAATTGGTTGTCAGATCGTATAATTGAGTAATTATTCGTAATATTTTATTTTTTGTTTTAATCGATGATGTTGAAAAGTATTAGGAATACTAATATTTATCATTTTGGAAATCCCCCCCTCCAAGTACATTTTGTACAAAATAAAGATTTGATTATTTATGGTTGCGATTGTGGTCTAGGCTTGTTTTGTTTTATTGCGTGATATTTTGGATCATATTTTAAGCATAAACAATATCAATTTGCCCAACTTACTGACCCCTAACCCGTTCCATAACCACTCTGCAAAATACTTACACTACACTCATTATTTCCAACGTAGGTCAAAATATTTCCTGCACGACTAACAGCATATCGTCTAGACTCTGTATTATGATGATCGTTTGAGAGTTTCTCGGTAAAAAGCTTCACTGAAAGTCTCATCCAGCAAGTGGGACGGGCTTTTGACGATTCCGTTGTGCCCTCGGTGTACTTAACATTTTCCGGAACTTTGGCAGGTAAACGCTGCGAAAATGTGGTTGGACTTCGGCGGTACATATCATAATATATTATATTATATGATTTCCATACCACGACCCAAAATCTAACCATTACTACAGATCGGTCGAATCCCTCTCTGCATTTTTCTTCGATTCCGTGCGTATCGATAAATATATACCTACACACACACTACAGCTCACGAAATGTAATTTAAAAATAAATACAAGTCGAAAGAAAATAATATTATATATAAAGCTCAAAAGAATTTTTTTTTCGTGTGAGTGTGTGGGTGGACGGACATAAACGCCGCACGTTACCTGCAGCCTGCTGGAGTGTCATATCAAACGGCCAGGTTTTATATTCTTCACAATATAATAGGGAGAAATTAAGAGAAAAAATAACCATTTCGTTTTCCAGCGCCTATGGCGATAAACATATCAAAGTGTACTCGCAATAAATTGATTTACCCGAGGAATCTGACCGACGCGACGAGATGAGATGAGTATAAAAATAAATACTCAGTGATCACAATTTATGTGCATGAAAAATAGTATTTTCAATAGGTCCCTATAGGGCGATGATGACATAAATTATTATATTATAATATAATATGTACATCTCGAATATACCTGCATATTTTATAGATATTTTTCGCCGAACATTTCCACACAATTCGTGTCTGTTGCATACGAACTTCATCACTACACATTTTATTCTACATCTCTAAAAAAACATTTTTTCCCTCAAATCTTATCCCTATATACGTCTATATATTTTTTTGACATATTTTTTTCAGAAGTCTAAATTATATTATACTTCTTCGTGCTGCACACTCTATAATTTATTATAGGCAAATACAATATAAGGCTCGTACCTACCCATTACACCCTCCCATATCGTGTACACAGTCTATTGTAAAGTATCTGAATAAAAGTAATTAAATACTTTTCAAAATTCAAAATAATTATTCGTTACATTTCAGATGAATTTTGATCATCGTTATATTATTTCATTTACGATTATAATAAAATTATTAAATATTCATTTGAATATTAATTATATATTTTATGTTTAATCGTTGACCATTTATTCATTTTAGAGAAATGTCAGGTCATTAAATATGTACAAAATTACTGATTTTCATAAGCTAATAAAATATTTAACGATTTTTTTATATTATAATTTCTAATACACTTTGATTTAAAATTACAATATTATGATAAGCCACACGATAATAACAAATGTCTGATCACATATTATTTTTAGACATTTTTTTAGTTTTTAGTTATAAATTCCATGTAGGTATAGCTATAATAACAATAATATTATAATATGATTCAAATGCTACATAAACCCAATATTTTTAAAATACTCAATTGATACATATAATGTTATAGAAGCAATCAGCTAGTTAGCAAACTCGTGAATCCCGTTAAATAAATACACATTATTTTATCAGTGGCATAGGATCTCGATTTTTTGTGGGTGGTGGAGTGCTGATTTTTTTTTATATACAGAGAAAGCTTAATTTTAACTACTGTAAGACCCCATTCGTAATAGTTAAGTATGTTGATGCCAGGAGTACATAACATTTTATACTTTTTCAGCAACCTCCTTACAAATAATTACAATAAATGTGTTCACTAATCACTGAACACCGAAAGCATTTTTAAATTTTCCTGAAATTGTGGTGAAGGTTATGCCATTTTATGTTATGCTTTTTTTCTACCAGTTTAAATTTTAAAATTCCTTGCACTGCTCGCTCTCCCAGAGAAATGTTTAAATTATAGCGAGCAATCATTTATTTAAAATTGTCTCGTATACATTATTCAATAATTTTATATTTTTCTTCCATGTTTGTTAGTGTAACAAGTACCTAATAACTATTTAAAATTTAAATGAGCTGAGTGACGCAAAATATTTTTAAGGGGTGCCCTTGTCACTTCACTCATTGCATACCTACTATATATTCGCTCAATAATAGACGATAATATAATTGTATTTCGTATTGTTTCGTATGACAACATAGACAATAGTAAAAATCATATCATATCCTATCAATCACCGACAATGAGTAATTTAATTATCCGAGAGTCATATTATTCTTCAACGATTATTTTCAATATCCAACTGCGGGAAAATCAATTTAGTATTTTAATTAAAAATTAATAATAAACAAATATATGTGAATTTAATTTATATTTATGCATTCGAATATTGTAGTGAAAATCATTTGGATATTAATTTAACAGATGCATATATTATTATATATGTATGTATACTTATTGTATTTTAAAACCTGTAGCACTTATAAAACTCTATTATAATTTGTAGACTCGGGGGAGGGGAGGAGGGTTCTCGTCTTAATTTAAATTCGATAGGTAGTAAAATATGTACTCAATATATTCACACTTTAAAAAGTTGAATTTATAAAATATGTAACTCTTATGACCGTTTACATAGTCAAGTATGTGTGTGACATAACACATGTTAAACTATGCCTTATGTGACACATAAATGACTAGGTATGCATATTATGGACATTAAATGGATAAATGTACAAATATTAATTAAATTAATAAACAATAAATTGAAAAAATACTAAAATAATGTTTTGTTGAATTTAACCAATCGAGTTTTAAATAGTAAATATTTAACACTAGCTTAAAAATACTTAAGTTGTACTTAAAGCAGTCTAATGAGTGGGGAATGAAAACAACTGTTTAATATACAAGTATAAATTGAAAACTGAAACTGTTAGGTAGGTATACAATCATGGCCATTATGATAATAATTTGTTTTCTTATTAATGTGATTAATTGACTTATGTTTGCCCTAAATTATTTGTTAAATATAAACGGGTAAAATATTTGTATCTATAAATAAAAATACGAAATATAATTCTTAGTCAGATCATATTTTTTTTCTCGTAATATTTGATGTGTTCCATAAACGTTAATAAATTATATTAACGGTAAAAAACTTTTTTTCTGGATAATACGAAAATTCACAAATCAACTCGATTGAGAATATTGAAAAACCATTTGTTGATTTTAAGTTAACGTTAGGCGTAGAGGTAAGTAGGGTGAAGTCGAAGTGAAATTAATAAAAAAAAAAAAAAAAAACATCAAACTACCGTTAGTATAATATTATGATTGTCAATAAGTTAAAAATATTACCTCGACTTGTAACTCAGTATACCATAATATAGTTACCTAATGTGCAACATTCGAGTGGGCGCACATCGAGAATAATATTTAAGAGAGTACCTAGGTATAGACTGAAGGGAAATATCTGTGAAAAAAAAAGAATTTATCGCTGTAAAATATCACCCAGAAACATACACATCCATCACACAGCAAGTAGGTGATAAATGGTAGATACGTGTGCGCTGCACATATTATTATATGTGACCTACACGAGCACTTCTCCTCTTTCTTGTTGACTTGTTTAACATGACGTGGTTTTTCGTCTCGACCGAACCGTAGGTACAAGGGGCTGACCAACTTTTTATCTGATCCCTTTCGAAATCAATAGACGTCGTCGTCGTCCGACGACTGCACGCGCTAAAAAACGCTCGAACGTCGTCGTTTTGCATTGTCCCTGGTCGTCACACAGGTACACGATATTATTATAATAATATAGTTCCTACCGTGGTATAGGTACACATGTGTGACTGGGAAGTTTGTTTTGGGTGGGGGCGAAGGACGGGGTCTTTACCTCTTCTGTAATGATATCGTGGTGCGTTTTCCGCATAGAAGGGGCACAAGTAAAATTTCGACTCTTTCAGATCATGCACCGATTTTGTAGGAAATATTTCTTACGGATCCTATAATGGTACCACAGTTATTCACAAATTATAATTCGTCGTTTTCGTGCATTCGTAGAACGCGGTTGAGCACTAGTCAACTCAGGTGATTCGCGAATAATGGCCACAAGTCATATTTATTAGAAAAAATGAATATTTATAAGTAATACAATAATACATTTTAGAATAGCGAATGATGTTCATAACTAAAAATAAGATAAAAGGCATAAGTCGTTTTATAATTTTGGTTGTTTTGAATTGGAAGTAAAACATAGTTTTAATTATTTTTAAATATTTTGAAAAACTGATAAAAATACAATTCAAAGAAATATGAAAAAAATTAAAACATAATAATATGTAAAGTAGGTACTATATGCATCTCCTAAAAAGCAGCTTTTTTTGATTTGGGCCCCATACCGTCCCATTAAAGTTATCAATCTTCCATTTTAATATAATATCAATAATTATGAAATGAACGCTTTTGACAACACATTTTGTAGAAATCTGAAACATTTAACAAGTACTAATATTTCTTGCATAAGTAATATTTTTCTGGGGGAATACACCCAAAACACACTCTTCCCCACTGGCTACTCCACTTTATACACCTCTGAGAGTACAAAGAAATAGTAAGTAGGTACAATAATAATAATAATAATAATAATAATAGTAAGGACTTACGGCTTGAATTCGTATAGGCATTTTCACACTGTAGGCCAAAATATAAGCAAATACTCACAAATACATTCCATAAATAATGGAATTATATATATTCCGATATTCGTGGCATGATATGATATGATGATGTTGTGAATAATGAAATTAATATGCATATTTTTACGTAAATCGACATTTTACAGATTTTAAACCATTTATTTTTACAATACCTTAACTTACCTTATTTATATTAATTGGAGCAAGTAAAGTCGATAGGTCATGTTTTTAATCAAGGCCTACCTTTGTATTCTAATCTACAAGCCACTTCCACTGCTTTGACAGTTTTCCCGGACGGACATGTTTATTTCACCGACACACTTATACGCTTCTATACTTTCTTAGAAAAATGTTGGGTAGTTTGAACAATAGTACTATCGCTAATTTATTTGCTTCATGTGGGAACAAGCGAGTAGCTTGAAAATTGGACTTGCTTATTAACTTGCCCCGTGTCCGTGTGAACCTGATTTTTCGGTCACTCTTCGTATTGTTAGTGTATATATTTTGTTATATTTTCATGCCATGTCACATTTTA